TGTGTGTGTTTCTCCTTGATGCAAACCCACCCCCTTTGTTGATTTTAATTCCCTGTAAGCCAACCACCCTTCCCCCTTCAAAATAAAGTTACTATTGTTTTGAAACCATGCATTCTTTTTTTATTAATTAAAAAAAAGAGATAATGGACAAGGTAGCCCAGGTGGGCTGGGGGAGGAGGGAAGGACAAGGCCACATTGCTTATGGTAGCCACACTAAAAATCAAACTGTTTGAATGACCGCTTTCTGTTGCTTAGGCCATCCTCTGGAGTGGAATGGCTGGGTGCCTGGAGCCCCGCCCCCCGCCAAGTTCTTGGACATCTGGGTGAGGAGGCTATGGAACATGGGGGGGAAGGTAGGTGGTTATACAGTGGATGCAGTGGGGGGGGGGTTGTGCTCTTGTTGGCTTTCCTGCAGCTCCAACAGATGCTTCATCATCTCCCTTTGCTTCCCCAAGAGATGCTTCATCATGTCCGTTTGCTCCCCCTTTAGCCTCAGCATCGCATCCTGCCTCCGCTCTTAAAATCTTACTTAAATCTTTCCTAGCCTCTGCCACTGAATGCCTCCATGCATTAAGCTGTGCTGTATCAGTGCAGGAGGACTGCATGAGCTTGGAAAACATGTCATCGCGAGTGCATTTTTTTCACCTTCTGATCTGCGATAACCTCAGGGACAGAAATGATAGGGGGAGTGTAGAAACATTCTATGCTCTATGATTCTAGGGGAACTGTATGGTAACCTGTTCTGCTGAGATCGCCAAGCTGACCAGACAGGAAATGAAATTCAAAAGTTCCCTGGGCTTTTCCTGTGTACCTGGCTAAGTGCATCGGAGTTCAAAGTGCTGTCCAGAGTGGTCACAATGGAGCACTCTAGGATAGCTCGCAGAGGCCAATACCATCGATTTGTGTCCGCACTACCCCAAATTCAACCCAGCAAGGTCGATTTTACCGCTACTCGCCTTGGTGAGGAGGAGTACAGAATTTGATTTTAAGAGCCCTTTAGGTCGACGGAATGGGATTGGTTGTGTGGATGCAGTCATTTTTAAATTGACCTATCACGACTAAATTCAACCTAACCCTGTAGTGTAGACCAGGCCTTAGACCTGCCAACTTTTTGAACCTGTGAATGTTAAGTGACCAAGTGATGAGTTAACAGGAATGCTGTTGCACAGGATTTGACTGGAGCTAGAAAACAAAAAGCCCTTAAAGTTGAACTCTTGGGTGAATAGAATGATCTGATTTATATTCAACCTTGGAAGGCAATAGATTGTTACATCAGTCAGAAGAGCCTGGTTTGGTTGGTTGGTTTTCCCTGAAAAATTGCAGAGGGTTCAGAGAAGAGCCATAGGAATGATTAAAGGCTTGAGCAGGGAGAGAAGTTTAAAAACAAACCCAGCCTTTCCTGCTCCTACTGGCTGTGGCTGGTGAGGACATTTTCCTTCTCTACTCCAGGGTCTCTCTTCTGCCAGATTCTCAGAAAGTCAGGCCGCCCTGCAGACTATGGCAGAGTAGTTTGGTAATAGGCTGCAGGACTCACCATGTAAGAGTGCAGCTGCTATAGCACCTTGACTGATCATGGGCCAAATCCTGCAGGCCTGGCAGCCCAGCATAACCGCCCACGAATGGCAATGGTAATTGAGCATTTGTAACTAGCTGCTGGTACCTTAGGTCTCAGATATGAATTAAAGTGGTGGCAAACACAGCTTTGAAGGATGCAAGTGAAAGAGCAAAGCTGGCCCTCTGGGGAACTGCTGCAGTCCCATAACAACAGCTGGAAGGGAGAAGAGAAAAAACTCCCTAAAGTGCTGGGAGCAGCACTGAGAATAGGAAGTTTGTCAGTGAGAGCAGTAGCAATAAATACGAAATGAAGGAGTGCTTTCTCCTCTGTGATGCCATGTTTGAATTGTGTTACTTTCTTATGAGATAAAGCTTTAAAATATCCTGGTCTAATTTCAGGATGGGTCTGTAACCATAATTGGTCTCTGTGGGAAGTGGGACTTTCTATTCTCATACATGCTATTTCTCTCACATATTCCCCCACTCTAATTCCTTTGGAGTGAGGTTTTAATTTCAGAATTAGCCACCATTTCCTATATAGTAGGAGGGTGCAGGGAGAGAACAAGAAGAAAACCTGAATCATAGAATATCAGGGTTAGAAGGGATCTCAGATGGTCATCTAGTCCAACCCCCTGCTCAAAGCAGGACCAATCCCCAACTAAATCATCCCAGCCAGGGTTTTGTCAAGTCTGAGCTTAAAAACCACAAAGGAAGGAGATTCCACCACCTCCCTAGGTAACGCATTCCAGTGCTTCACCACCCTCCTAGTGAAAAAGTTTTTTCCTAATATCCAACCTAAACCTCCCCCACTGCAACTTGAGACCATTGCTCCTTGTTCTGTCATCTGCTACCACTGAGAACAGTCTAGAGCCATCTTCTTTGGAACCCCCTTTCAGGTAGTTGAAAGCAGCTATCAAATCCCCCCTCATTCTTCTCTTCCGCAGACTAAATAATCCCAGTTCCCTCAGCCTCTTCTCATAAGTCATGTGCTCCAGCCCCCTAATCATTTTTGTTGTCCTCCGCTGGACTCTTCCAACATTTCCACATCCTTCTTGTAGTGTGGGGCCCAAAACTGGACACAGTACTCCAGATGAGGCCCCACCAATGTCATAGAATCATAGAATCATAGAATATAAGGGTTGGAAGGGACCCCAGAAGGTCATCTAGTCCAACCCCCTGCTCAAAGCAGGACCAATTCCCAGTTAAATCATCCCAGCCAGGGCTTTGTCAAGCCTGACCTTAAAAACCTCTAAGGAAGGAGATTCTACCACCTCCCTAGGTAACGCATTCCAGTGTTTCACTACCCTCTTAGTGAAAAAGTTTTTCCTAATATCCAATCTAAACCTCCCCCACTGTAACTTGAGACCATTACTCCTCGTTCTGTCATCTCCTACCATTGAGAACAGTCTAGAGCCATCCTCTTTGGAACCCCCTTTCAGGTAGTTGAAAACAGCTATCAAATCCCCCCTCATTCTTCTCTTCTGCAGGCTAAACAATCCCAGCTCCCTCAGCCTCTCCTCATAACTCATATGTTCCAGACCCCTAATCATTTTTGTTGCCCTTCGCTGGACTCTCTCCAATTTATCCACATCCTTCTTGAAGTGTGGGGCCCAAAACTGGACACAGTACTCCAGATGAGGCCTCACCAATGTCGAATAGAGGGGAACGATCACGTCCCTCGATCTGCTCGCTATGCCCCTACTTATACATCCCAAAATGCCATTGGCCTTCTTGGCAACAAGGGCACACTGCTGACTCATATCCAGCTTCTCGTCCCTGTCACCCCTAGGTCCTTTTCCGCAGAACTGCTGCTAGACATTCGGTCCCTAGTCTGTAGCTGTGCATTGGGTTCTTCCGTCCTAAGTGCAGGACCCTCACTTATCCTTATTGAACCTCATCAGATTTCTTTTGGCCCAATCCTCCAATTTGTCTAGGTCCTTCTGTATCCTATCCCTCCCCTCCAGCGATCTACCACTCCTCCCAGTTTAGTATCATCCGCAAATTTGCTGAGAGTGCAATCCACACCATCCTCCACATCATTTATGAAGATATTGAACAAAACCGGCCCCAGGACCGACCCTTGGGGCACACCACTTGACACCGCTGCCAACTAGACATGGAGCCATTGATCACTACCCGTTGAGCCCGACAATCTAGCCAGCTTTCTACCCACCTTGTAGTGCATTCATCCAGCCCATACTTCCTTAACTTGCTGACAAGAATACTGTGGGAGACCGTGTCAAAAGCTTTGCTAAAGTCAAGAAACAATACATCCACTGCTTTCCCTTCATCCACAGAACCAGTAATCTCATCATAGAAGGCAATTAGATTAGTCAGGCATGACCTTCCCTTGGTGAATCCATGCTGGCTGTTCCTGATCACTTTCCTCTCATGTAAGTGCTTCAGGATTGATTCTTTGAGGACCTGCTCCATGATTTTTCCAGGGACTGAAGTGAGGCTGACTGGCCTGTAGTTCCCAGGATCCTCCTTCTTCCCTTTTTTAAAGATTGGCACTACATTAGCCTTTTTCCAGTCATCCGGGACTTCCCCGGTTCGCCACGAGTTTTCAAAGATAATGGCCAATGGCTCTGCAATCACAGCCGCCAGTTCCTTCAGCACTCTCGGGTGCAACTCGTCCGGCCCCATGGACTTGTGCACGTCCAGCTTTTCTAAAAGTCCCTAACCACCTCTATCTCCACAGAGGGCTGGCCATCTCTTCCCCATTTTGTGATGCCCAGCGTAGCAGTCTGGGAGCTGACCTTGTTAGTGAAAACAGAGGCAAAAAAGCATTGAGTACATTAGCTTTTTCCACATCCTCTGTCACTAGTTTGCCTCCCTCATTCAGTAAGGGGCCCACACATTCCTTGGCTTTCTTCTTGTTGCCAACATACCTGAAGAAACCCTTCTTGTTACTCTTGACATCTCTGGCTAGCTGCAGCTCCAGGTGCGATTTGGCCCTCCTGATAACATTCCTACATGCCCTAGCAATATTTTTATACTCTTCCCTGGTCATATGTCCAACCTTCCACTTCTTGTAAGCTTCTTTTTATGTTTAAGATCCGCTAAGATTTCACCATTAAGCCAAGCTGGTCGCCTGCCATATTTACTATTCTTTCGACTCATCGGGATGGTTTGTCCCTGTAACCTCAACAGGGATTCCTTGAAATACAGCCAGCTCTCCTGGACTCCTTTCCCCTTCAAGTTAGTCCCCCAGGGGATCCTGGCCATCCGTCCCTGAGGGAGTCGAAGTCTGCTTTCCTGAAGTCCAGGGTCCGTATCGTGCTGCTTACCTTTCTTCCCTGTGTCAGGATCCTGAACTCAACCAACTCATGGTCACTGCCCCCAGATTCCCATCCACTTTTGCTTCCCCCACTAATTCTACCCGGTTTGTGAGCAGCAGGTCAAGAAAGCGCCCCCTAGTTGGCTCCTCGAGCACTTGCCCAGGAAATTGTCCCCTACGCTTTCCAAAAACTTGTCGAACAGAGGGGAATGATCACGTCCCTCCATCTGCTGGCAATGCCCTTAGTTATACAGCCCAAAATGCCATTGGCCTTCTTGGCAACAAGGGTGCATTTTTGACTCATATCCAGCTTCTGGTCCACTGTAACCCCTAGGTCCTTTTCTGCAGAACTGCTGCCTAGCCACTTGGTCCTGAGTCTGAAGCAGTGCAAGGGTTTCTTCCGTCCTAAGTGCAGGACTCTGCACTTGTCCTTGTTGAAGCTCATCATATTTCTTTTGGCCCAATCCTCTAATTTGTCTAGGGCCCTCTGTATCCTATCCCTACCCTCCAGTGTATCTACCACTCCCAGTTTAGTGTCATCTACGAACTTGCTGGGAGTGCAATCCACGCCATCCTCCAGATCATTAATGAAGATATTGAACAAACTGGCCCCAGGTTTTATCAGTATAATCGTGATGCTCAGGATTGGTTTAGACTAGGAAAAGCGATGGAGTTTAGGTCAGGTCAAGGGGAAAGCTAATGTCAACCACTGCACCTGGGCTGCATCTGCTCTACAACTATAATTGTCTTTTTACACCAAGATCACTCACTTGAGCAGTCAACGCCATGTACAGTCCTAGTGGATGTAAGGGACAGGTAGTTTTTGCCTCAGTGTAGCTTGTTGGGATCAAACCTCTCTCCCCCACCTGGAGCTGATGAACATTCCTGGCTGGAGGGACACACTCTCCTACGACTCAAAAGCAAAGGAGTTGATAGAAAAGATCACAGGACTGACCCCAAAAAAGGGTTAGCTGCAAAAGGCAGAAGCAGGTAACTCATCTGGGGGAACTGAGAGACCACGGTGAAGATGGTGCAAAGACCGTTATGTGGGAATTAGCAAATGTGATTTAAAAATAAAAAAAACCTTTGGCCAGCCCTAGTCAAGGCATTTATTACAGTTCCCTCTCATGTGGATTTTCTGATGTGTGACAAGCTTTGAATTATAACTAAAGCTTTTCCCGCACTCAGAGCATGTGTAGGGCATCTCTCCTGTGTGGATTCTCTGATGTGAGATGAAGGCTGAACTATGAATGAAGCGTTTCCCACACTCAGAGCATCCATAAGGTTTTTCACCTGTGTGGATTCTCCTATGTTTGATAAGGTTTGAACTCTGATTGAAGCTCTTCCCACACTCAGAGCATATGTAGTGTTTCTCTCCTGTGTGGATTCTACAATGTGTGATAAGGTGTGAGTGCTGATTAAAGCTTTTCCCGCACTCAGAGCATGTGTAGGGCGTCTCTCCTGTGTGGATTCGCTGATGTGTGATAAGGTGTGAGCTCCAATTGAAGCGCTTCCCACACACAGAGCATCCATAAGGTTTCTCACCCGTGTGGATTCTCCTATGTGTGATAAGGTCAGAGCTCTGATTGAAGCTTTTCCCGCACTCAGAGCACGTGTAGGGCATCTCTCCAGTGTGGATTCTCCTATGTTTGATAAGGTTTGAGCTCTGATTGAAGCTTTTCCCACACTCAGAGCATTTATAGTTTCTCTCTCCTGTGTGGATTCTACAATGTGTGATAAGGTGTGAGTGCTGATTAAAGCTTTTCCCACACTCAGAGCATGTGTAGGGCGTCTCTCCTGTGTGGATTCGCTGATGTGTGATAAGGTGTGAGCTCCGATTGAAGCGTTTCCCACACTCAGAGCATCCGTAAGGTTTCTCACCCGTGTGGATTCTCTGATGTGTGATAAGGTCAGAGCTCTGATTGAAGCATTTCCCGCACTCAGAGCACACATAGGGCGTCTCTCCAGTGTGGATTCTCCAATGTGTGATAAGGGCTAAGTGCTGATTGAAGCTTTTCCCGCACTCAGAGCATGTGTAGGGTCCCTCTCCTCTCTGGAATTTCTGATGTATGAAAAGGTCTGAGCTCCCACTGAAGCTTTTCCCACACTGATGGAATGAGTAGTGTGTCTCTTCAAAGTTGATGCTCTCGCATGTAATAAGGTCTGAGTGGCTCCTCAAGTTTTCCTTTGGCTTGTGCTGACTCTCACAAGCTTTTGCTTTTTCTGGGAGTGCACAACTCCCGGAATCATTCCCTTTGGATCTTCCTGATAACGTCCCACGTGGTTCTAGTGGCTCAGCATCTTCCTGCTGGGGTTTCTCCTCCTCGTTCTCACTCACCATCCCATCACCTGATGGGAGATGGAGAGAATCCAGACATAGGTCACTCCCTGCGCCTGAGAGAAAGGAAATCTCAGAGACAGGAATGGAAAAAGGGATGAACAAACCAAAACGTGTGCAGGAGAGATCAAAGCTATCAGGAACTGATTTTCCCCAAACCTTTCCCCAGAGGAGAGGGGAAGGAATCAGTTTTGCTCCAGACCTCACCAGAACACTCAGGGAAAAGCGAGATCAGGGAGGGACCTGCTGCCAGTTGTCAGTCAGGGTAGGTGGGAAGTAGGTCAGTCAGGGTAGGTTATGAGTGACATCTGCCTAATAATTCCACATCTGCAGGGAACAATCCTAAACTTGAAGAGCTCACAAGGTCTTTGAAGGGCATCCCAAATGTTTCCTGTATTCATGGACAGTTTCTGAATTGGTTTAACCAATTCCCTACCTGTGCAGGCAGCTCTTGAGAGCACTTCTTTGTCAGAGCCCTGGAGGTCTGGGACCCATAGCTCTTCCCCTCGTTCCAGCTGCGAGATCACATCAGGTTTGGAACCTGGAAACCCTGCTCAAGGCAAAGAAAACAAGGGAGGTCAGTAGAATTTGTGGGATACTTGTCACAAGGAATATTCCATGGTTTTAAGCCCAGCTCATTTTTAAGCAGTAACATCCCAAGGCCAGCTTTCTTAGCTCAAAGTGGCAGGAGAGGAGTTGTTATTATAAATCAAAGGACCAACTAACACTGGGTCCCCATTGTGCTAGGCAAAGTACATACACAGAATAGTAGATGGCCCATGCCCTGAAGAATTTACAATCTAAATAGACAAGACAGACATAGAATGGGGGAAAGGGTAGAACCCACTGTTAGAATGTACAGGTTTCAGAGTAGCAGCTGTGTTAGTCTGTATTTGCAAAAAGAAAAGGAGTACTTGTGGCACCTTAGAGACTAGCCAATTTATTTGAACATAAGCTTTCGTGAGCTACAGCTCACTTCATCGGATGCATAAAGTGGAAAATGCAATGAGGATGTTTTATACACACAGACCATGAAAAAATGGGTGTTTATAACTTCAAAAGGTTTTCTCTCCCCCCACCCCACTCTCCTCCTGGTAATAGCTTATCTAAAGTGATCACTCTCCTTGCAATGTGTATGATAATCAAGGTGGGCCATTTCCACCTACATGCCTCCAGCTTTCACCCAGACCACACCACACGGTCCATTGTCTACAGCCAAGCTCTACGATACAACCGCATTTGCTCCAACCCATCAGACAGAGACAAACATCTACAAGATCTTTATCAAGCAGTCTTACAACTACAATACCCACCTGCTGAAGTGAAGAAACAGACTGACAGAGCCAGAAGAGTACCCAGAAGTCACCTACTACAGGACAGGCCTAACAAAGAAAATAACAGAACGCCACTAGCCGTCACCTTCAGCCCCCAACTAAAACCTCTCCAACGCATTATCAAGGATCTACAACCTATCCTGAAGGACGACCCATCACTCTCACAAATCTTGGGAGACACGCCAGTTCTTGCCTACAGACAGCCCCCCAACCTGAAGCAAATACTCACCAGCAACCACATACCACACAACAGAACCACTAACCCAGGAACCTATCCTTGCAACAAAGCCCGTTGCCAACTGTGCCCACATATCTATTCAGGGGACACCATCACAGGGCCTAATAACATCTATCAGAGGCTCGTTCACCTGCACATCTACCAATGTGATATATGCCATCATGTGCCAGCAATGCCCCTCTGCCATGTACATTGGGCAAACTGGACAGTCTCTACGTAAAAGAATAATGGACACAAATCAGATGTCAAGAATTATAACATTCATAAACCAGTAGGAGAACACTTCAAACTCTCTGGCCACGCGATTACAGACATGAAAGTTGCGATATTACAACAGAAAAACTTCAGAACCAGAGTCTAGCAAGAGACTGCTGAATTGGAATTCATTTGCAAATTGGATACAATTAACTTAGGTTTGAATAGAGACTGGGAGTCATTATGCAAGGTAACCTATTTCCCCTTGTTTTCCCCCCCCCCCCCACGGTTCCTCAGACATTCTTGTTGAACACTGATTTGTGCTGGAAATGGCCCACCTTGATTATCATACGCATTGTAAGGTGAGTGATCACTTTAGATAAGCTATTACCAGTAGGAGAGGGGTGGGGGGAGAGAAAACCTTTTGTAGTGATAAACACCCATTTTTTCATGGTTTGTGTGTATAAAAACGTCTTTTGTACTTTCCACAGTATGCATCCGATGAAGTGAGCTGTAGCTCACGAAAGCTTATGCTCAAATAAATTGGTTAGTCTCTAAGGTGCCACAAGTACTCCTTTCTTTTTGTTAGAATGTAGATATTCAGGCCTGCCTGTAAAGCCTATACTTTAAGAAGTTAAGTGTATTTTTATCACTTAGCTAGTTATAAGAGTATAAAAACAAACAAAATCACAGTCCGCCTGTGTATGGGCCTTCTCTCACTAGCACAGTCTGACACCTTGTTCTTAGGCTAAGGCCTTTGGCTAAGCAGCAGGGGCAGCCATAAGGTGGGATGCGTACGGTAACATTGTCATATCCCAAAACAGTTACACTGAAATAACGTGGTATTGGGCTGTTAGGAAGATGATCCTGTCCTGATAGTGCCCATCACCACCAGATAAAGAAACAGATCTTAAGATGGTTAAAGAAAACTTAGTTTGATAGCCTCCTGTCTGGCAAGAAATCGCTTCTCAATGGTTCATAGAATCATAGAATATCAAGGTTGGAAGGGACCTCAGGAGGTCATCTAGTCCAACCCCCTGCTCAAAGCAGGACCAATCCCCAACTAAATCATCCCAGCCAGGGCTTTGTCAAGCCTGAGCTTAAAAACCACAAAGGAAGGAGATTCCACCACCTCCCTAGGTAACGCATTCCAGTCTTTCACCACCCTCCTCGTGAAAAAGTTTTTCCTAATATCCAACCTAAATCTCCTCCACTGCAACTGGAGACCATTACTCCTTGTACTGTCATCAGCTACCACTGAGAACAGTCTAGATCCATCCTCTTTGGATCCACCTTTCAGGTAGTTAAAAGCAGCTATCAAATCCCCCCTCATTCTTCTCTTCCGCAGACTAAATAATCCCAGTTCCCTCAGCCTCTTCTCATAAGTCATGTGCTCCAGCCCCCTAATCATTTTGTTGTCCTCCGCTGGACTCTTCCAACATTTCCACATCCTTCTTGTAGTGTGGGGCCCAAAACTGGACACAGTACTCCAGAGGAGGCCTCACCAATGTCGAATAGAGGGGAACGATCACGTCCCTCGATCTGCTGGCAATGCCCCTACTTATACATTCCAAAATGCCATTGGCCTTCTTGGCAACAATGGCACACTGTTGACTCATATCCAGCTTCTCATCCACTGTAACCCCTAGGTCCTTTTCTGCAGAACTGCTGCCGAGCCATTCGGTCCCTAGTCTGTAGCAGTGACAGGGTTTCTTCCGTCCTAAGTGCAGGACTCCGCACTTGTCCTTGTTGAAGCTCATCAGATTTCTTTTGGCCCAATCCTCTAATTTGTCTAGGGCCCTCTGTATCCTATCCCTACCCTCTAGCATATCTACCACTCCTCCCAGTTTAGTGTCATCTGCAAATTTGCTGAGAGTGCAATCCACACCATCCTCCAGATCATTTATGAAGATATTGAACAAAACCGGCCCCAGGACCGACCCTTGGGGCACTCCACTTGATACCGGCTGCCAAACAGACACGGAGCCATTGATCGCTACCTGTTGAGCCCGACAATCTAGCCAACTTTCTATCCACCTTATAGTCCATTCATCCAGCCCGCCCATACTTCTTGTATGGATTGTGCTGGTGAAACCCGCATTTCTGTATTGTTTTATCTTTACGGCCCCCACTTTTTTATTTTTAATTTGTCTGGTTCTCTAATTGTTTCCGTCTGCTGTATAATTAATTTTGTTATGTGTAAGTTAATTAGGGTAGTGGGATATAGTTGGTTAGAGAATTATGTTACCATATGTTAGGATTGGTTAGTTAAATTTCAATAAAATGATTGGTTAAGTTATAGCTGAGAATATTATTATATAAACTGGGGTCAAACAGGAAGTGGAGGGAAAACTGGAATCATGTTTGCTAAGGATGGGGGGGAACGGGAATGGGGAACAGGGACACAGGCAAGGGGGACACAGAGCTAGGAAGGAGGATGTGGGGTAAATGATCTGCGGTGTCACAGCTGGAAAGGGAACACCGGGGAACAGACTATATTGGAGTATAGAGAGAAGCCCGACTGGTGTGAAGAGCTTCGGAATATGCTTGCTTGGAAATGAACCCCAATAAACATCGCATTGTCTGCGCTTCAGATTTCTGGTCTTTTGCGGTTTCCTGTCTGTGTGACAAGAACCAGGAAAGAGAGAGAGTGAAGGGAAATCCCTCTAACAAAATTGACATGACGTGATAACCAAGAGGTAAGCTTTTAAGGAAGGTTTTAGTACACTTTGGAAACGATCAGGGATTCCCATGAGGACTGATGAGGGGGCGATGGTAAATACGCATTTAGATCCTTTGCTTGTTTTATATCTTTTCCCACACTATCATGGATCCATAGGATCTGTGCAATGCCCTGGATTTTAAACAGTCCTTCGGAGGTGCCCCTTGAGTGCGCCAGACCCCCAAGGGGTCCCACTCTTCCACAAGGATAGGCCATATAGCTTCAACACATGAGACTGAGCCTCTGGCTTCAAGACTCCTATTTCAACCTGTGAGCTCTGCCAGCAGGTCCAGCTGAATTACACTCCTCTTCAGAGACTGTTCCTCATTCATGCTTCAATGCACCTCAGCAAGCTTTTGCTGTGACACTGGGCAGACTGTTAAAACATAGCACGGGTTTATTAGTCAACTGAAACACAGCATTGGAAATTGTCCTTAGATGAGGACAGAGAAGCAAAGACGACAATATAGTCCAGACTGGCCAAGGCCCTTGTGCCATGCTGCTGTTGAAAACAGTTTGGTT